GGGAAAATAGCCCCAGTCTATTCAGCTTCCCTATAGCTCAAACCCTCCAACCCTGGCAACATTTTTTGTAAATCTTTTCTGAACCCTTTCAAGTTTCACAACGTCCTTCCTACAGCAGGGAGACCAAAATTGAATGCCGTATTCCAAAAGTGGCCTCACCAATGTCATGTTAGGTGGTTCTCTATGACCAGCACAGACTCAATGGGACTTGCCAATCTCTCTTCATACCCGAAACTCTCCAGCCCAGGCAACATCCTGGTAAATTGTGTCAGGTGCGTGATGGAATACTCCCCACTTGCCTGGATGGCGACAGCTCCAACAACAACTCACAAGTTTGTCCTATCCAGGACAAAGCTGCCTGTTTGATTGGCACCACATCCACAAGCATCCAGTCCTTCCACCACTGATGCACAGTAGCAGCAGTATGTGTGCCTTCTACAAGGTGCATTGCAGAAATTCAAAGATCCTTAGACAGTACCTTCCAAACGTGACCACTTCAATGTAGAAGGGCAGCAGACACAAAGGAACACCACCCCCTGCAAGTTCCCTTCCAAGCCACTTATCATCCTGGCTTGGAAACATATCACCATTCCTTCACTATTGCTGGGTCAAAGTCCTGGAAAGCACTGCCCCCACCCCCGCCCTGGCATTGTGGGTCAACCCACAGCAGGTAGACTGCAGTGGTTGAAGAAGGCAGCTCACCCACACCTTCAAGGGGGCAACGAGGGACTGATAATAAATGCTGGTCAGCCAGCAATGCCCACATCCCACAAATGGCAAAAAAACTCCTCCGCAGTGCTATCACATCCCTCCTATCATGTGCATTCCAGAACTGCACACAACACTATTGCTGTGACCTAACCAAATGTACAGTTCTAGCATCACTGCCCTGCTCTTAAATTCTATACCTCACTGATTAAAGGCAAGTATTCCATGTGTCACACCCAATTTACCTACCTGTCTTGATATCTTAATGGACTGAAAAGATAATGTAAAAAGCATGAAACACTTGGAAACAGCATGTGTTCTCAAAAACTGAGATCAGGTCCCTAGTTCAGAAAACTCGCTCCAAGGATTAAAATTTCCTGTAGCAAGCCTTCCCCAATGCCTTGGTGAAATGTGGTCTCGGTTTTGCCCTTGATTGGGATGGGAAGCTTCAGCGAGAGAAAGCAGGTAAGATTCACGAGAATGTTTCCAGCCATGAGGAACGTCAGTGATGAAGATTGATCAGAGATGCTGGGAGTGTTCCCCTTAGAGAGAGATAAACAGGCAGAGGAAGCAACGGCCAGAATCTAGGAACGTGCTGCCTGAGAGAGTGGCAGAAGCAGCATCGATTTGGGGTTTCAAGAGGGAATTGGATCAGTATGAAGAACAAATACTTTCCAAGCAACAGAGAAAGGGTGGAAGAGTGGAACTGTGGAACTGTTCGAATTAGTCTCACAGAGAACTAGCACACAAATTATAGGCTCTGTGAACTCCTGCTCTGTAACCATTCTCCACCTGGATGTAGAGATTGTTTTAGCTTCATTTCCATTGTGAGACTACCCTGATGCCCGTTTCCTCAATTACAATTTCGAACTCAAGCACATAACCTTCCCCGAGGGAGAGACAGACGGACAGAATTTGGGAACTTCAGAAGGAACAAAGACTGATATCAAAATAGGAAAGATGTATTTACCAAGCACTGTGAGCAGTAAATGCTATCTTTCTATTCCGTCTCATTGGTAGTTACAGATCGTCAGGGAATAATTTCTGAATCCGGATTTGACTAAATCGCTTGCTAAGAAACTTGGACAAGACAGCATTCTGTCTTCAAGTCAGCAGTGATCTGAGTGAGCTCCGCACTGTCAAAACCGAAAGAACTGCGGATGCTGTAAATCAGGAACAAAAACAAAGTTGCTGGAAAAGCTCAGCAGGTCTGGCAGCATCTGTGAAGGAGAAAAAAAAACAGAGCTTGTCGGACTGTCAGTGGGTCAGCACTGAGCGAGCGAGCGCCGCACTGTTAATGAGGGTCCTCTTTCTGTCTCTGCATGTCCTGTTCGCAGCCTACAGCTGAGACTTTTTTTTTTTAAAAACTGTTTCAGACAGTTGTCCACAATGCTAACAACACCATTAATAAAAGCAAAAAGATGTATGCATTGATCGCTAAGGGTTGAGGATTTGGGAAAACAAGTATTGACTCTGCACAGATGTATGTAGAAATTTTCCAGATCTGTCCTTTATAACCCTCTCCTCTCTTTCGCTGTCTTTGTCAATAAGTTGCTTTTTTCATTTTCACTCGGTCACTAACCAGCATCTCCCAAGAGTCATAGAGATCTGCGGCATTGAGAGAAACCCCTTTGATCAGGAAGAACAGCCTATCTATTCTAATCCTACTTTCAGCATTTGACCTATAGCCTTGTATGCCTGGGCCTCACAAGTGCACATCTCAATACTTATTCAATGTTATGAGAGTTTCTGCCTCTACCAGCCCTTACGGGCAGCGAGTTCCAGACTCCCACCACCCTCTGCATGACAAAACATTTTCTCACATCCCTTCTAAGCTCCTGCCCTTTCCCTTAAATCTACAACCCCTTGGTCATTGATCCCTCCACCTAGGAGAGAAGTCTCTTCCTGCCTACCCTATCTATGGCCATCATAATATTATACATCTCAATCATGCCTCCCCTCAACTTCCTCTACTGTAAGGAAAACAACTGAAGAAGTGTCCTGACCCGAAATGTCAACTTTCCTGTTCCTCTGATGCTGCCTGGCCTGCTGTGTTCCTCCAGCTCCACACTGCTATGGCAGTCTGTCCTCTTTGTAATTGAAACTCTCTAGGCCCAGGGCAACATCCTGAGAAATCTCCTCAGGACCTTCTCCAGTGCAATCACCTCCCTCCAATGATGCCAATTCCAGAACCGCACACCATAGCCTCTCCTCTGAAGGGAGGACATCCCAGAAAAAGATTGGTGTGCTGCCATCCTGGGAATTTCCTGTCAAAATTGAGTTCTTTGCTTTGGGGTTCTACAGGCACATGTCCCTCCCAGGAGCTGATTTTGAGTGATTAGTTCTTTGGAACCTAGCGTGTGGCCTCCAGAAAAGGACAGTGCAATTGATGAACTGCACCCCACCCTCTAGTATGGAGGGTCTTGTCAACTTGATGCAAGTGACCTTTCACTTGTGTCACAAGGTTGTCCAAACCTCCAAAGGTCAATAAAATGACTGCATCACTGCTGTCCAATAAATTTCACCCCTCCCTATCTCTGTAACCTCCTCCAGCCCCTCCACCCCTCCCTATCTCCGGCTGGGAGCCGTTCCTTTAGCTCAGACAGCCCGAAGTTCTGGATTTCCCTCTCTGAATGCATCCAACACCAGCGTCACTATGCTCCCTTAAGATGCACCAAACACCAATCTTTCTGTCGCCTTTCCCTCGATACTCACCACGTCACTCAGTGTCCAATTCTAAGTTATTGCGGAACCTCCCTAGGGCTGGGTCATGTCATTACAGGTGCTAGGGCAGTGCAGGTTGTTGTTGTAATTGTAGCCTGTGTTCTTCCTTGTCTGTCACGCCCTCGTAACGTTCATTTCCAGATCCGCCAAGCGTCATTTTCCACACCAAGGTGACTGTTGAAGTGAACCCAAAAGGCAAACCACACCTTATCTACAATTCCGTCATTATGCCCCCCTGACTGGCACCTACTCCTTTACCTACTCTCTACTGTCAGGGATAGATGCCAAGGATACCGTGGTGTACTTGATGAAAAATAATGTTCCCTTCAGTTACATTCAGAGTATCCTGCTATTATCATCAGGTGCAGCTCCAAAAGGCGGCCATGCCTGTCATACTGCCCCACAAGAAGGGCAACTGAGTCTCTGTGCAGCCCGTGTGTGGGATAGCATGGAGTGGAATGGATGCCTTGAATTTCCAGATAGTTCCTCTGAGGCTGAGGCTTTGACCAACTTCAATAACCACCTTCCCCCCCTCTCCGCTCCCCCTCATTCTCCACACCCTTTAATCCCGCACCCAGTCTAATCCCATTCTCTCCCTAGATGGGTAGCTGAATTTCACCTGAACCTGACCACCTTGGGTCCATATTTACATTCACTGTAATAACAAACAAGGTCATTTTGATGCTAACACATGACTAACGCAGCCATTCTGCATGAGGCCCACAGATTAACCAAATCACTGCCATAAGGTTGTAACCAGTCACAAAGATCATTGTACCAGCCCTGAGCGTATATTTAGTCACACTTAACGAATTAATAATTGCTTTCACTAAAACTGAATTAACCTGACATTAGTAGGTACAATAACAAGCTTCAAATGTGTAAGAGTGAGCAGATTCGGATAAATTGTTCCGTGTGGCACTCTGACGGTGATATATTTCACCGTTTCTGTCCCAGGAGACTGATGCCTGCTGCTTTCTATGATTGAACAACTATTCAAGTCACAGAGTTACCTGTGCAACTCAGTTACAGTTATCAAAGGATGTGCCTATGGTCCTGCAGCTGGGAACCTCAGTGGCAGGAGCTTAATGCTTCACCTACTCGCTACTTGCGGTGGGGTTGGGGGCAGGGTGATCTCATGGAAACAGCGAGGTGTACCTGATGAGACATGAAGGTGCCTGGAGTTACACACAGTATTTGTCAAGGCGCACGCAGCCTTTAAATCAGAAAACTAGCCTGACTCTGATCGAGGGTAATGGTCACTTGGGGTTTAAACACCGAGGGTGCATGGCACTCCCTCAGCGCTGCAAAAAAAAAAAAAAAAAAAAAAAAAAAATGCACTGACCTGTCTATACTGTGCACCTCAGCCTGGAGGTTTCACTTCGAATGCTACCAAAAGCGTGACCACGCTGGTGCTCCCTGGCACCTGTATGACTCCAACTGAGATATTCACCAGAGACGGTGGACCCAGCCCCCAGATCTACAATACGAGTCATGGTTCAACACACACTCACCACCCTGTAGACACAGCTGCTTAGGCAGGAAGTGATAAGTGTCATTCAGGTAACTGTGATCCAAATCATTGCCTTTATTTCCAATCTAAAACCAAATACATGCCGTTAGCTGATCGGATATCCTCCGAGTGAGTACAGATGATCCTGCTGTAGGATCAGTGAGAAGATGATTCTGTCCATTTGATATGGCAGCAGAGACTTGGAAATCTGGGAACAGACAGGGGAGGAGTGCCTGGACCCTTTGGTCCACCTCAGGATCAGACGACTGGGGCGTGGGTCGTTCAGGGGGTTCGGCACCATCCTGTTAGCAGGGTTTCCTCGTAGCAGCGTCTCCTCGAGCCTGCAACATGCCCCTGTGGACCAGCTCATTCCACTTGTGAATCCAGCCTTGCACATTCTGTCCGTGCTGTTTAACCCAGGGAACAAGGAACTGGGCAGGCTGCTCCCACCTGAAAACACACACAGTCAAACATAATGTGTCCTTAATACACCCCAACCACAGCCTCTCACTTACTGATCTCCACTGTGAAATCTCAGAGTCACAGTCAAACATGCTGTTAATACTCCTGATCACGGTCCCTTTTTTTTTAAAAATAGAATTGCCACAGCCATGGAAACAGGCCATTCGGCCCAACCAGCTCACACCAACCCACCGAACAGCATCCCACCCAGACCCATGCCCCTACCCTATCCCTGTAACCTTGCATTTCCCATGGCTAACGCACCAATCTACACATCCCTGAATACTTACTGACCTCCAAAGTGAAATCTCATCATTCACACAGCCTCTCTCACTTACTGACCCCCACTGTGAAATCAAATGCTCCCTGTCCCATTCTTCAGCTGGAGTTTAGTTACTGGGGAGAGTCTGGGATCACCCCTCAGAACATAGGAGGTTAAGACAGAGATTGAATCTGGACATTCAAAATCACTGGGGCTTTGGGGGTGGTTTTGGGGGTTGACTGAGCTGACGAGGAGCGGTGCTGGGTGGTTCTGAAGCTGTTGGGGACTCCCTCCTGTTTGAAATTCTAGAGTCTCAGAACGAACTGCAGTTCAATGCTCATAGTTCATTGTTATTGTTCACTCAATATGGACCATTTTTTTGGAGCGGTAGGGGTTTAGGCCATGATTGGTTGTTCGTCAAAACTGCCCCTTGAGAAAGGGATAGGAGGCAGCTGCTTTTACTACAACCAAGCCAGGGCCAGAAGAAATCAGGAATTAGACCAGCTTTTAATTCCAACCTCCTCCACTCCTCGATGTCTCTGCTGACTACAGGAAAATGCCTCACACCCTTCCCAACCTCCCCATTTCCCATCCACAGGCTGGGCAGGGTCCTCAATCCCCATGTTGCCTCCCCCAAACCATAATGGGGAGGGGGGGGGCGGGGTCAGACACACCCCACCCCAACAACATACCAGCAGAAACTGGGATTGCATCCTGTGCTGTCAACTCCAATCTGAACCAAACCTGCTGCCCAGCTGACCTGACCCTCTCCAGCCTACCTCTCATAAGGGTAAATGCATTCCCACAGTGACTGGCACATTTAATAGTAACGTGGCAGCTGGGAGAGGCTCTGATTTCTTTCTCTCCATCAGCTATTGGTGGGAGTCGGATGGATTTATAGGATGGTGATCAGCCTGTTCAGCCGCGTCATCTACGCAAACCCTCATTTGTCCCCTAGTCCTGGACTGGGACTCTAAAGGTAAAGCCTCCATAGCCTTACCAAACCATAGGGCTGCTCTCCCACTAGAGAGACGACTGGTGGTGGTTTAACCTGAGGGTCACCACAGTTCTGAAGGAGAGTTCTTCACGGTAACCTCAACTTATGCCGGAATTTAACCCATGGCTGTTGGTGTTACTCTATATCATAAATCAGCCATCTGCTGACTGAGCTAACCAACACCAGGCCACTAATTTACTGAGTAACATCATCAGCAGGTATCAGTTACATCTGGTTACTTACCAATCCTGGACATCGTTCCTTAGTTCAGTGGTGAACTCAATGGCTTGAAGGCACTGATTCAAGAGTTTGTGAATGTTTGGAATAGAGTTCTGATCACATTCGGAGCTCTGCAAGAGGATGCGCTCAATCAGGGCTGGGAAGGGAAGAGCAAAAACAGACAAGTTACTAGGCTCAGCGCTGAGGGAGTGCCGCGCTGCGCCATTGGATGGTGAGAACTTAAACTAGCAGATGGTATGGGTGAGTTTCACGCTGCTGCACGTGGGATCTTGATGTGTGCAAATTGGTTGCTTATGTTTCCTACATTAAATTGTGAGCTCAATTCAGAAAATGGTCCTTCACTGCCTTTGCAGCTTCCGGGCGACCTGAGCCGGGAATGGGAATCTCTCTTTAATCCTCTGTGTTTTTCACAGCTCCAGTGGTGTTATGATAGTATGTCTGATTTGAGATAGGCATCACAGTGGGCTCTCTGCCACACCCCCTTACCGTCTGCATCAGTGACTGGCGTGATGTTGTGTCGTCTCTGCAGAGTCTGCAGAGCGTCTCTCTGATGGAGCAGAGTTGCTTCCAATGACCTGCGCTCCACCTTCATCTCGGCTGCGTGGTCCATCAGGAATTCAGGAGCCTGCGGAGACAGGCAGAGAGTTATTCCACAGTGTCAGAGGGAGATACGCAAGTGGGCAAGGGAGGCGAGTCAGAATGAATGAAATTGATTTTTCAAAGAGCAGACACGGACTTAGTGGGCCGGAGGGACTCGTGCTGTGCTTCAGTGAAGTTTTGCACCACTGAGGGACCAGAGTCTCTGCCCGTTTCCCCCTGTGATACCCTGTCTCCCTCCATCTCTGTGCGCGTGTCTCTGCATTTGTGTCCAGTGTGGCGGGGGGGGGGGGCGAAATCGGGACTTATGTTCCAGAGATTATGGGTCCTGTCACTGCCCCAAGTTACGGCCTCAGCTGACACTGGCTTTTCATTTGGTGATAACCCCCACTAAAGCTTTTCCTTTCTGAGCTCCTCCAATCCCGGCTTTTTTTTCCCCACGAGCATTCCCCGATTTCTATCACTTCGCCACTGGCGGCGGCGGCGCTTTCAACTGCCTGGGGTCGCGCTCCGGAATTTTCTCCCCAAAAGTCTCTCTTCCTCTTCTTCTCCGCCCCTGCCTGCGCCTCTCCCTCTCCTCTCCTGCCCCTTCACTCTCCATGAAAACACTCATTTAAAAAAAATGAAACCTTTGACCAAGTGTTGAGTCCACGAACCTAATACATTCTTTCGTGAGCTAGCATCAGATACAAACACTCTGGGAATGTTATACAGCATTCAAGGTGCTACGTAAATGTACATTGTCATTACCTTGTAGAACGGGAAATATAAACTCTTCTTGAGGCCCCGGAAAAATTGAGGATTGTTGAATGAAGAATCCAGTTTGTGGATGGACAACTTGTGCACAGGAACCCTCTGGGACCTGGAGAAAACATGATACTTCAAAACCACAGCCAGACAATGAAATAATACACCCAGGATCCCATATAGCCCAGACCACACTGCATCAACTTTATACTAGCCTTCACGTGGCTAAGCCATGCAAAATCAAATTGGCCACAGGAGAAACAACTCAGGATGAGCGTGAGAAAAATAAAACAAAATCTAAACAATTTTATAGACTGGTAAAGTACCATCAGAAAATCACTTCAGTGTTGATCAGGGAGAGGTGGTACAGTTTGGAGAGAAGATTAAGAAGGTCACGCATGCCCTGCATAATAAGAGGTCAAACAGATGGGAGGGCAGAGAATTACAAGTTACAGAATCAAACATCACGCAAAGTACAGTCACAGGTTCATAAGGTTATTTGGAAACCTTGAGACTGTTGGGGTTGGTTTACTAAAACATGGGGTTGACAATAAATTTCTTCTGGCAGTGCAGCACTCCCTCAGCAATGACACTGGGAACTGTTGGCTTGAATTTTGTGCTCCAGTCTCTACGGTCAGCTCCCAAGCCCAGACTGTACTGGTTCAGAGGGCAGTGTACTCACGGTCAAGCTGGACATGAGGATGGTGCTGAATGAAGTGTATTACGCTCGTCTCCTCGGGAGCTCGATGTTAAGTAGGACCAACTCAAGTGACGACGAAGAGCAGACTATCCATCTCATGAACCTAAACAGAAGATTTTGGCTGCTCCCTTGACCCATTCCCAAAAACCGAGCATACCGATTTGAGCAGAGACACAAAGCGTCACTCACTCTCCTAAACGTCGGCGATCCAGGTTGGGCAGAGAAATGGCCGTGAAGAGGTTCACTTCCCTGTTGACGGAATTGTGGAGCTCCTCAGTCAGCGAGCGAATGGGATCCTCCTGCTCCCCAAGTTTCTGCCTCACGAAGGAGCCAATCTACAATGACAGCAGTAGTAGGCTGCATTTATATAGCTCCCTGAACCAAGTTGAAAAGTAAAAAAACTCCACAGTCAGGAGACACAGACAGCCCAAAACACGCAAGGAAATATCATGGATAGGTGAACGAAAAGCTTGCTTGACAAAATTGATGTTTAAGGGGCACCTTAAAGGAAGACAGTGTAGGATGGAACGGTGGGGGTAAGAGTTCCTGAGATGGGGCATGTGGTGGGAGACTGACCTCTATTTGTGTCTTCATCAGTTGACTCTTGGCTGACGAATTCCCTTTCACTAAAGCACGGATGAGATCTTGTTTCGTATCCTGTAAACAGCAATCGTCAGAAAAGGTGAGGGAAACAGAGAACATCAGAGGCACAGTGCCCCCGACAGGACACACCCTGTCACTGGCTTTGTAACAGATCAGGTCAGAAACAAAATCATTTTTATCCTGAAAAGATGTTTAAAAGGATTCGCAGGAATAATTCACCTTCTCGGGCTGGGTTCAGTCACATGATCTGACTACAGGAGGTCGAGCACCAAACTCCAGGCCACTCTCCAACAGGCAGCACCTTATTGGCAAAGGCTCAGCACCCAGGGAGGATCGCACTGTCAGAGGTGTTGTTTTTGATTGGAGATATTAAAAGGATCTGCCCTCTCATGTCGGTGTAAAAGATCCCAACACTGAGGACTGAACGATGAGCAGGAAGTAGTTCTCCCTGGTGTCTGGGTCCGCCATTTATACCTTCGCCAGCAGATCCTTGTAATATCTCCAATCAAAAACAACACCTCTGACAGTGCGATCCTCCCT